CCTCCTTCCGGCCGCCAGGACCCCGGCCGGGAGGGCGAGTCCCAGCCCAGAGGGCAGCAGCGGGAGAGGCCGGCGGGTCATGCCCTGCTCACTCCGCGCCATTCTCCTCCGGGACCTGATCCTGGGCGTGTTGGGCATCTCTGCCTTCCTCATCCACTTGGGCTCCGACCTGTGGGCGGTGACCCAGTATGTGCTCAGCGGCCGCTACCTGTGGGCCGCACTGGTGTTGTCGCTGCTGGGTGTCGCCTCGGTCGCACTGCAGGTCTTCAGCTGGGTCTGGCTGCGCGCCGACCCCGCCGACCTGCACTCCTCTCAGCTCTCCGCGCGCTGCCTGGCGCTGCTCCACCTCCTGCAGCTGGGCTACCTGTACAGGTGAGCGCCCCGCCCTGGGGAAGGGGGGGGACGGAGCCCGGCGGTACCTCCGACAGCTGGGCTACCTGTACAGGTGGCGCCCTGACACTGGAAGCGGGTGAGGAGGTACCCCTGGGCACCTTTACCTACAAGTGAGTTTCCAGCTCCTTAAAAAATGACGCCGGCTGATAGCCCTCAGACCTCATCCAGCCCTCCCCTGCCGGGCACAGGTAAAGAAGGAAGCAGGGCCAGAGAAGAAAGGCGTGATTCAGAGTCAGACCTCTCTGGGACCCAGTCTTGGCTTTACCATCTGTGGCCTCATTCCTGCCTTTCTCTGAGCCTCGGCTTCCTCCCCTGTTAAAAAGAGGTAGTAGCCCTGGCCGGTTTGGCTCAGTGGATAGAGCCCCAGCCTGCAGACTGAGGGGTCCCAGGTTCGATTCCCGTCAAGGGCACATGTCCCGGTTGCTGGGTCGGTCCCCCTTGGGGGTGTGCAGAAGGCAGCCAATCAATGATTCTCATCATTGATGTTTCTATCTCTCTCTCCCTCTTCTTCCTCTCTGAAATCAATATATATGTGTGTAACATATATACGTAGAGGCCTGATGCACAATTTCGTGCAAGAGTAGGCCTTCCTTCCCCGGGCTGCCGGCACTGGCTTCACTCTGGCACCCAGGACCCGGGCTTCCCTCTGGCCACCCGCAGGTACCCGAGACCCCGGCTTCCCTCACAGCCCTGGTTTCGTCCGGAAGGACATCTGGAAGGATGTCCGGTCTAATTAGCATATTATGCTTTTATTATTATAGACTAGAGGCCTGATGCACAAAATTTGTGCAAGGGTTTCGGCCCTCACAGCCGCGGCTTCGTCCGGAAGGTCTTCTGGACGGTCGATCTGCTATTTGGTCTAATTAGCATATTAGCTCTTTATTATATAGGAGATATATACATATATAGTAATCTAAAGGTAGGTCTGGCAGGCAGGCCTGTTGTGAGGAGTGAGGGAAAGAACAGAGAGCTCGGCTCCTGAGACAGGTAAGCAGACAGACCAGTGTTCCTTTTAGCTGTGGATGGGGCCTTGGGCAAGACACTTGACTCCTGTAGGTCTCAGTTTACTCTTTGTTCCAGCGGGGATGGTCCTCATGCATGCCTCTGTTCGGTAAGGATTAAATGAAATGAGACCTGTGAATTGTGTGCAAACGCTAGCTAGCTTCATGAGAGTTCCAGCAGCCCTGACCCCCAGAGCAGTACTTGTCCCCTCACCCCTGAGTGCCTCTCACCCTTTCTTTCCCAGCTGTATTCTCCCTGAACATTTCCTCCCGCCTCCCCCTGCTCCCCACCCTGACCAAGTTAGAGGGCAGCGATGGGGTCTGACTCATCCTTTCCAGGACTGGCAAGGCCCTCTAGAGATGGGGAAACTGACACCAAGGGGTCAGAGTCATGACGGGATGTGGCCTGGGTTGGGCTGGGTTGGGATTGGGTGGGTGGAGTCGGGATCTGCTTTTGAATCCATTTTTTTTTTTGAATATAAACTATTTTATTAACCACTGTTTACCAGTATTTACAATAAAGTAAACAATATACAGTTGGGTAACATTATTGAGTCATTGTTAGAGGTTCTTAGCATATTTCAGAAGGTGTGGTGGCTCATTCTAGAAATCCTTTTGATTTTGTAAGTCATGACCCAGCAGTCAGTTTCTGGAGAGTGCCTACCATGAAGAAATCATCTGTGATGCTGATATAAGAGCATCTGCAAGGAAGTGGGAGAATTCAATGTTTTATGTTATCAATTATACCTTGAGCTCTTTTGGCAAAAACTCTTATTTTATATTCAAAATCACTCCAGAGTCTAATAAGCAATGATATGGCATTATTCACATAGATCAAATAAATCATTTTCCATCTTTTAAATAGAACTGCTGTTCTCTAGCAATGTTTCTGTCTATATAATGCTTTGTGAGGTAAACTATTAGAACAACACTTGTCTCATTAAAATTTTATCTTCTGCCATTCCTCCAGTTTCTTAAGTCTAATTCCCACTCTTTTTGTTTCCAACGCCAGGTTTTCTAGTTTAATTATGCTCAGTTGCAAACTTCACAGACAGTGCACTTTATAAAGTTTATAGAGCTTTATAGAGTTTGGAGACTAACAAAGTTTTATCATGGCCCATATATGTGAAATCTAGACTAGATAGATTTCAACATTCTGATTATTATTTTCACTTTCACCATCAACTGCAATCTGTGTCTTGATAACAGGTTCACTTTTAACAGCCTATATAATAAAAGGCTAGTATGCAAATTGACCAAACAGCAGATCGACCAGTTGCTAAGATGCGCACTGACCACCAGGGGCCAGATGCTCAACGAAGGAGCTGCCCCCTGGTGGTCAGTGCGCTCCCACAGGGGGAGTACCCCTCAACCAGAAGCCCTGAGCCAGGCTCACGCTGGCAAGCGCAGCGGTGATGGCAGGAGCCTCTCCCGCCTTTGTGGCAGCATTAAGGATGTTCGACTGCCTAAGTCGTCAGTCGGACATCCCCAAGAGCTCCTGGACTGCGAGAGGGCACAGGCTGGACTGAGGGACTCCCCCTCCCCCCTGAGTGCACAAATTTTTGTGCACCGGGCCTCTAGTACAGATATAAAAAGGAATGGAAACAAATATTGGGATTCGTCTTCTGGATAAGAATGCCAAGTTAGTCTTTCTTCATAGAAAGCAATTACAATTTGAGGACACTTCTTATTTGCCTCTTGCCAGCACCAGAATCTGAATCTTTCCATTTCATGAGAAACATTAACTCTCCACTGCTGTCGGTGGCACCAATTATTCGTTCAGGATCAAGACCTCTGGCAAAGCCTCTTGGTTTATCAGCAGCATCTCTTTTCTTCTTTGATTTGCTATCATCAGATTCACTGTCAGATAAAGACTTTCTTTTTGTACCATCTTTTTCTTTACCAGCTTTTTGAGAATTAAGAAATGCTTCAATTAACTCTGGACAATCTAAATTTTCTTCAGGTTCCCAAGTATTGTCAGCATCTGTGAATCCTTTCCACTTCAGGAAATACTCCACCTTCCCATTCACTACACATCGATCCAGTACTTTTCCACTACAAATTCTTCAGGCTCTGCCTCTTCAACTTTTTTACTCTTTCCATCTGTTTCTTTCCCATTTTTTGCAATGTAGTTTTATTGGAGGCCATTTTTTATTGCAGACTCCAAGAGCTATTACTGCCCTGCGCTCAGGCGGGGGCTGGAACCCGGCTCCAGCGAGGGGACTGCGCCGCCGCGAGCCTCCCGCTTGAATCCATTTTTGTTGTTGTTGTTCATCCTCACCCGAGGATGTTTTTTCCATTGATTTTTAGGGAGAGTGGAAGAGAGAGAGAAAGACAGAGAGAAACATCGATGTGAGAGAAACACATCAATTGGTTGCCTCCTGCAGGAGCCCCGACCAGGGCCCAGGGGAGGAACCTGCAACCAAGGTACGTGCCCTTGACCGGAATCGAACCCGGGACCCTTCGGCTCACAGGTTGATGCTCTATCTACTGAGCCAAACCGGCGAGGGCTTGAATCCATTTTTACAGAGTCTCTCCAGCTCTTGTCTTGACAAAGCTGCATCGAGTGTCCAGGAGTGGGCGAGAGGGGCTTTGAATGGTGCATTTTGCCCGAGGGACTGTACAGGCATCAGTAAAACTCCAGGGGGGCATGAAGAGGGACACGTTACCATTCTGACAGGCCTCAGTGAGCCCCGAATCCATAACTGTATCATGCATCTTCCCGTCTCCTATTTCTGCTGAGTGTGAGGCAGACGATGTACTGAGCTTTGGTTTTGAAAATGATCTCTGTGTCTGCCTGTGACTAGGCTGAGGCAGGGCCCTGCCGTGGCATTGGGGGACCAGAGGCAGAGACTCCTGCTGGGGGAGAGCCCCAGCCCAGGGCTGCCTGCCTGTTTCCTTCCCGTGTTGTCAAGTCCGTCCAGGGGAGGTCACAGTACATGTCTGATGAACGAGTTCGCAGTGAGCGAATGGGCTCACCTCCCAGTAACCAGCTGAGACCAGTTGTGGGTGGTGGAAGCCGTGGTGCATCTCCACTCCCCCCTCATGCCAGCGGTCACCCAGGCCTGTCTGTCCAACTTCTGTACTCGCTCACCTCTGCCCCGTCTCCATCCCCACCCCTCTGGGCCTCTTGTCCTTTCTCCCTGGATTGTTTCAACAGCCTCTTAAATAGACCCCTGCTTCCGGTCTTAGCCCCTCCATCCTTTCCTTCTCGCCACACCTGGGAGTTCTTTCTACAGCACAATCTGACCTGTCTCACCTGTGCTCAGAAGCTCTCAATGGCCCCCCTTCCCCACAGGAGCCTAAGAAATTCTTGGGCTTGCTAACATTTGAGAACTATCATCGTAGGCAATTTTCTTGTGTGCCTTTGATATCCAAACACCACTGCTTATTAGCTCTTCGGTCATGTTTTCCCATCTGTAAAATACAGATGTTGTGAGGCCTAAATGGGACAAGGTTTGTGATGAACTTGGGATAGTGCCTGGCCAGCAGGAGCAGTAGTAATTATTATTATTATTATTTTTAATGTGTTGGCAGAACACTTCTTTTTTTTAAAAAATATGTTTTTATTGATTTCAGAGAGGAAGGGAGAGGGAGAGAGATAGAAACATCAATGATGAGAGAGAATCATTGACTGGCTGCCTCCTGCACGCCCCCTACTGGGGATCGAGCCCACAACTGGAGCATGTGTCCTTGACCGGAATTGAACCCAGGACCCTTGAGTCCAGAGGCCGACGCTCTGTCTTGCCCAACGTCCCACAGCTTGTAGGATTGGCGCCTGCCTGCACCTACCTGGTAAGCAGGCCAAGGAGGAATGCCTCGGACACTAACCTGGCCCCTGGGTCATTCCTCTGTGCCTAGGTGCATGCAAGGGCTGCAGCAGGGGCTGTCGGTGTGGCAGCAGGAGGCGCCCTCCCCGTTCGACTTGGCCTACGCCGACTTCCTCTCCCTGGACATCAGCATGCTGCGGCTCTTTGAGACCTTCCTGGAGAAGACGCCGCAGCTCACGCTGGTGCTGGCCATCGTGCTGCAGAGCGGCCAGGCCGAGTACTACCAGTGTGAGTAGTTGCCCTGGCAGCAGCTCGCCCCCCTCTTATGGCTGGAGAAAGTTTCCCACAGAGATCAGAAATGCTTCCACTCTTTCATAAGCACTGCTTAGGAGATAGGAGCGCATCCTTCGTCAGGCAGGCTTGGGTTCAATCCCAGCGTCCAGTCCCAACACTAGCTGCAGGAGTTTGGACCAGTGACTCCACCTCTCTGAGTATTGGTTCGTTTTTATCTGTGAAATGGACATAACACATAATCCTACCTCATAGGACTGATGAAAGGATCAAGGGAGGTGATGCATGTACCAGGTCTCTGGTGCATAAATGAAGCTTAATTGTCATTTTTACTCTTTTGAAGACAACAGATAAAGTGAGTGTGTAGGGTGCGACACATAATAGACAACTTGTTGGTCCATACAATGTTTGTTGGGCACCTTTACTCACTTAAGTTGTTATTGCGCATCTTTGTGCCTGTCCCTGTGCTGGGGGCACTGCAGTGAGCAAAGACCAGCCCCTGCCCTGCTGGGCTGCCTGGAAAGCAGGTAGTTAAAGGGAAGTCATGAGCCCATGGACTCCAACTGTGTCTGATTCCAGGTCCAGGGCTGCCCCTTTTCTGCCACACCCCTGCCTCCTGCCCTGCTCCCCCACCCCTGCTGTAAATGCCACAAGCCTCCCAAGGGACCAGTCTCCACTCCGCCCTCACTCACTGTGTGACCTGGAGAGTCTTCCCTTCTCTGGCCTCAGATTCCATAGCTGTACAAGATGGGGTTGGACTTGATCTCCAGGGGCGCTTTCAGCTGCTCTTTTGAGCCTGTAGTACTAATTGAAAAAGACCAGTAATAGCAGCCATCACGATCGAGTGCCTGCTGGTAACCGGGCACTGTGTGGAGTGCTTTATTGTCAGTGCTCACATCAAGCCCTATAGGTTGGTGCTATGTTTATCTCCATTTTGCACAAGAGGAAAGAGGTACAGAAAGGTGGAGTGATTTGCCCTGGGACACACAGCATATACTGGGCACACATTTTTGTTTGTCTGTCTGAGGGCAGTGAGTGTCTAGGACCAGGGCCAAATGGATACAGTCTACACTGTCTGTGTGGGGGGTGGGGGAGAGGAGCGAGGGAAGAGACGGATTTTCCCAACTTTTTTATTTATTTATTTATTTTTTAAAAATATATATTTTATTGACTTTTTACAGAGAGAATGGGAGAGGGATAGAGAGTTAGAAACATCGATGAGAGAGAAACATTGATCAGCTGCCTCCTGCACACCCCCCACTGGGGATGTGCCCACAACCAAGGTACATGCCCCCGACCGGAATCAAACCCGGGACCCTTCAGTCCGCAGGCCGACGCTCTATCCACTGAGCCAAACCGGTCAGGGCTCCCAACTTTTTATTTAGCAAACATTTGTGCCAGGTACTGGGCTGCCTGGGGATCCCAGGGGAGCAGAATCTGTTTCCTACCCTGAAGGAGCTCAGAGATAAGGAAATTGGTAATTAGTTCAACAGAAGTGGGTGGGACCAGATCTGGATGTGTGGCTCTAGGGCAGTGGTTCTCAACCTTCCCAATGCCGCGACCCTTTAATACAGTTCCTCATGTTGTGGTGACCCCCAACCATAAAATTATTTTCGTGGCTACTTCATAACTGTAATTTTGCTACTGTTATGAATCGTCATGTAAATATTTGATATGCAGGATGTATTTTCATTGTTACAAATTGAACATAATTAAAGCATAGTGATTAATCACAAAAACAATATGTAATTATATATGTGTTTTCCGATGGTCTTAGGAAACCCTTGTGAAAGGGTCATTCCGCCCCCAAAGGGGTCGCGACCCACAGGTTGAGAACCGCTGCTCCAGAGGCTACTTCAGGGTAAGGATTCCAGGCTGGGCGTGGGGTCCTGGCCCATAAGAGGTTCCCAGTAAACATCTGGTGAATGGATGCGGTGGGTGGATGCGGTGGGAAGGAGGCAGGGGAGGAAGCATTCTAGAGACATTCCAGCGCTGCTTCCCTCCCTCTCTGGGGACCCTGGTGCTTCTAGTCCACCGTGGACAACCAGTAGGTGGGATAGGATCCCCACTGTACACTTCGAGTCTTGGAAAATCAAGACCAGGCCCAGTCTGAGCAGGGAGGGGAGGGGAGTGAAGATGTACCATCCACACAGCAGGGCACCTTCAGAGGCCTGTTGCCACCGAATGGGGTTTCCAGCTTCCCTTTCTGAGAGTAAGAAAGGGGGAACTGGGACCGCTGAGTTTCAGATCCAAGAAAGGCGTGGGCTCTTCCGGGAAAGGAAGGGTTGCAGGGTTCTTTAAGATGCCAAGCCCAGGGGTGCAGATGAGGGTGTGTACCTAAAAAGTAAAGCTTTGTGGTGAAGGGCAGACCCCATAGTTGAATCTCAGATCTGGTTTTGGTTGTGAGAACAATGTTCTCCAGTTGTAGTTTTCCCTTCAACAAATTGGGGGTTCGCATACCCACCTCAGGGTGGTTATGAGGCCCCCAGAACCTGTGAGCTCTGGGGAGGGTCAGGCAGGCTGCCCACAGGGCTCAGCTGTCTCCTCTTCCTCTCCGCAGGGGTTGGCATCTGCACGTCCTTCATGGGTATCTCATGGGCACTGCTTGACTACCACCGGGCCTTGCGCACCTGCCTCCCCTCCAAGCCTGTCCTGGGGCTGGGCTCTTCCGTGATCTACTTCCTGTGGAACCTGCTGCTGCTGTGGCCCCGAGTCCTGGCTGTGGCCCTGTTCTCAGCTCTCTTCCCCCACTACGTGGCTCTGCACTTCGTGGGCCTGTGGCTGGTGCTGCTGTTCTGGGTCTGGTGTCAGGGCACCAATTTTATGCCAGATCCCCGCTCTGAGTGGCTCTACCGGGCAACGGTGGCCACCATCCTTTACTTCTCCTGGTTCAATGTGGCTGAGGGCCACACTCGAGGCCGTGCCACCATCCACCTGGTGTTCCTCCTGAGTGACAGCGTTCTCATGGTGGTCACCTGGGTGACGCAAAGTGCATGGCTGCCCAGTGGGATCCCGCTGCAGATGTTGCTGCCTGTGGGCGGCACCAGCTTCCTTCTGGGTCTGGTTCTGCGGCTTGTCTACTACCGCTGGCTGCACCCCAGCTACCCCTGGGAGCCTGACCAGGTGGACGGGACAACCACCTTCCGCTCCCTCGAGTACTATCAGCTGCCTCAGAACAGGCGCATGGACCATTTGGCTCAGAATTTTTTCTCCAAGGCTAGGGATGAGGCTGCTCTGCCATGGCCGGGGGAGGTCAATGGCGTCCTTTGAGGCAGGGTCGGACCCAGCCAGGGGACAGAAGGACACATGCAATCAGTCGTTAGAATGCAGGAGAAGATAAGCTAATTGTGCTGCTATGGGCCTTGACTCACTCAACAAGCACTTGCTGCCGGATCTTGCCAGGCACTGGAGACTAGAGTTGAATAAGACAGAGGCCTGCCTTCAAGGATCAGAAGATGAGGAGGACCGCACCCTAGAGGGGCAAGAGCCCAATTATATACAAAACACTTGGAGAGGACAGAAAAGATCCCCTTTTCTTTTCCTTCCAACCAGTATATCTGGAGCCCAAGATAAGCTAATTGTGCTGCTATGGGCCTTGACTCACTCAACAAGCACTTGCTGCCGGATCTTGCCAGGCACTGGAGACTAGAGTTGAATAAGACAGAGGCCTGCCTTCAAGGATCAGAAGATGAGGAGGACCGCACCCTAGAGGGGCAAGAGCCTCAATTATATACAAAACACTTGGAGAGGACAGAAAAGATCCCCTTTTCCTTCCAACCAGTATATCTGGAGCCCAAAGCATCCCCTATCCTGGAAGCCACGGATGCCCCAATTGGCTGACCTCCATCAACCCGTCCAAGGCCTTAGTGCAGCTGGCCCAGCCTCTGCCCCTGCTCTCAAGGGGCTGCCTTTTAACCAGGTGCCTTGTTAACCTGTGGTCTGGGCCATGGCTCAGCCCATGGAGTATATGTTTTATACGTTTGACCAGTGGTTCTCAACCTTCTAGCCCTTTAAATACAGTTCCTCATGTTGTGACCCAACCATAAAATTATTTTCGTTGCTACTTCATAACTGTAATGTTGTTACTGTTATGAATCGTAATGTAAATATCTGATATGCAGGATGGTCTTAGGCGACCCCTGTGAAAGGGTCGTTCGACCACCAAAGGGGCTGCGACCCACAGGTTGAGAACCGCTGCGTTAGACAGTGTATTTTCTACCTCGGAACCTATTGTGAGGAAGAGAAGGTGTATGCATATGTGTCTCTGCAGGTGAGAGACACTATGTGTTGTTTTGTTGAACAGTATTATTAGGTTGTTATTAAAACCTTATAAAATCCTCCAAACTAGTTGTGTCATTAAACTAAATCTACAGAACTCCAAGCCATTTGGAAAGAAGGGGTCAGGGACACAAAGTCCACTGCTCAAAATCGGTGAAAAGGACAGAGGAGAAGGGGGCTGGACGTAGGCCGGATTTCTCAACCTTGTTTTCTATGTTTCAGGCTGGCGAGCCGGTGTGGGGTTGATCGTTCAGGTGGGCACCAGAACCCAGATCTGGACTGACTGGTGCTCTGCTGCTGGGCCCGGCAGTAGCTGCAAACACCTTTAGTGCCAGAAGTGAATACGGGAGCCCAGGTGAAGGTCTTTTATGGGAAGCTCAGGGAGGGTGTACGTGATGAGGTGGCTTAAGGAATGTGAAAGTGGGCAATGGTGCCAGGGAGGTGGAATCTTTTGCTGCTCTCGGGAGGTCTGTGGGTTGGAGAAACAAGGAATTTTTGCCAAAGCTCTCATCTATACTCTAGATCAGTGGTTCTCAACCTTCTGGCCCTTTAAATACAGTTCCTCATGTTGTGACCCAACCATAAAATTATTTTCGTTGCTACTTCATAACTGTAATGTTGCTACTGTTATGAATCGTAATGTAAATATCTGATATGCAGGATGGTCTTAGGCGACCCCTGTGAAAGGGTCATTCGACCGCCAAAGGGGTCACGACCCACAGGTTGAGAACCGCTGCTCTAGATGAAGTTGTCAAATGATGGCAATATGTACGCAGTTAACTCCAAACAATGTATACCGATACTACCTAAAAAGCTATAGAAAAAGTTTCATTTGTATATACACTTAAAAGTTTACAGGATCGCCCTAGCTGGTTTGGCTCAGTGGATAGAGGGTCGGCCTGTGGATCAAAGGGTCCAGGGTTCAATTCTGGTCAAGGCACGTTCCTCAGTCAGGGCTGGTGTAGGAGACAACCCATCAATGTGTTTCTCTCACATTGATGTTTCTGTCTTTCCCTCTCTCTTCCACTCTCCCTAAAAAAATCAATGGAAAAATATTCTCGGGTGAAGATATAAATAAGTTTATAAATAAGAATTTATAAATAAGAATCAAAAGCTTTAAAAAGATGAGTGACATTACACACCCATTAGAAATTTCCTTTGAAAATTCCCATCAATCGTTTTTTTTTCAAATGTCAAGAAACCTGTTTTTGAAGAATAAAAACCTCCTGAATTGTCTGCCACCAAAAGATTTTTGAGAAATGTGCAGATGTTATACTTATCGTAGGGGGAGATGAAGGTGTTTATTCTTTGGGCTTGAGAAGCAATATTTGTGCTTACAAGCAAGGATATAGCAACTCACAGGTTTGCTTCATCTACAGTGTGGTCCAACATGTGCCCCTTTTTTTCTTCTAAATCCTCACCTGAGGATATGGTTTTTGTTTGTTTGTTTGTTTGTTTTTAGAGAGAGAGAGGAAGGGGGAGGGAGAGAAACATTGATGTGAGAGAAAAACATCCATCAGTTGCCTCCTGTACTCGCCCTGACTGGGAATCGAACCCATAACCTTTTGGTGTACAGGATGATGCTTCAACCAACTGAGCCAACAGAGCCATAATGTACAACTTTCTGTTGAAAAGATTTAATGATTAGAATACATGGCAACCCCATCTTTTCTGAGGTGATTAATTTGGGAAAAACACCCTGTACTCTGACATATATGGCACTTGGAAGCTAGATCTGAATTCTGATTTCCTTCATTGAAATAAAAGGCAAAAGAATTCTTGATTTTTCCAGACCAACAATGGACAGACCCAAATCTGAAGAAAGGAAATGAGAAAAAGTAGCTGATGGGACATGAAATCAGGCCAAATCAAACAGGGCTTGATGTTAGTTTGTGTTTTATTGCTTTTGTGTTTTAAGCTCAGCACAGCAAGTTACTCTCTAATAATTACATTTCAACACATTTGACAGAAAATGAAATCTCTTATACCAGTCCTAACATTTAAAAAGCAATACACACACACACACACACATACACACACACACTGAGTGGCCAGATTATTATGACCACCTGACGTTTGTAGGCAAATTAGCTATAATTTCGAGCTGAAGTTGTTAGAGGGCCAGACCATTATAAA